GAATAACTTTGATTCAGAAGTATTAGGTCACAGAACACAAGAGAGAAATAATGTGCTGTGACAATGCAAAGTTGAGACCCTGTATTTCCCTGTATACAGGGAAATGTCAAGATCTGTTTCTTCTTGAGGACTGAAAGAGTGGAAAGTGAATGAATTATAATAGTATGAGGCACAAGAACAGGTGCTGAAGGAGCAGCAGGGACTGAACATACAGAAGAAAAAGATGAGTTGTATTAGTGAGTTACTGTACCAAGAAGAGTTATTTATACCATGACTGTACACACTATAAATTAGCAAATAAGCAAAAACTTAAATTTTAGAAGAAGTTTGAACTACAGAATTATTATATTGAGAATCACAGAATGACCTGGGTTGAAAGGGATGACAATGTTCATCTAGTTTCAACCCCCTGGTATGTGCAGAGTTGCCAACCACCAGACCAGGCTGTCCAAAGTGTTGGGTTCAATGAACTTCTGTGAATGTTGAAATCATGTCCCCATGAATTGCTCAGTACCAAGCAGCTTCAAGGCTAAAGGTCTTGGATATGAGAGAACGTGAAGGCTTGCTGGCCACACACACTCACAGTTTCAGGGCTAAGATCCAGAGTTCTAGAAGTCAGGAGTAGAGAAGTTCTGTTAGGCAGGGTCCTATCTGAAACCAAAAATAGTAAGCACCCATGTTTTGCTCATCAAAATATATTCTTTTCAGCATCAGTGTTGACATTCAAAGCCAACTTTTCCAGGTGGCTTCAGGACCCAGGAAAGATTTAAGTTGTATCAGTCTCATTTGGGTCAATGGGAACTTTTGGCGGACTGGCAGTGAGGAAAAAGGTACAAATTTAAAAACGTAACTGAGCAAGCTACTAGAAGAATTACATGATGACTTTTAATTCTTATGTTTATTTCACCCTACCACAAGGTTAATGTCCACGCTGAGGTTGTTCCTCCAGATTATTTCTCTTTTTAAGTAGAGAGAAATAAACACTTTTGTGGTCTGAATCATGCCAAACTAATGTAGATGTCAAAAAATAAGTTGGCTGAATTGTACCCCAAAAATGTTTACTTCTTAAGTTCTAAAGGGAGCCCAAAGGAAGAAGCTCAGAAATGGGTATCTCCACTGTAGTCTTCTAAAATCAGAAGATATAAATTCCACCTGAGGAGATGGCTGTCCTCTGTCCCATGGAACTTGAACTGCTGTATCCAAAGATATAAAGAATAATTGAAAACAGCATATAACAATGAGGAAAACAATATCACAGATAGAAATGTGAAGTCTACAGAAAAGAAAATGGCAAGGAAAAAAAGAGTGCAAAACTTAATTATATTACTGGATATTTTTATTTAGTAGAAAGATGAGTTCCAAAATTACAAATCTATGAGCAGGAATGTTTTACTTTGTACCAGTGCCTATGCATATGAGTAGCATGTCCATCTCTAGAGCCACACACACAAATTCACTCGTTGAATTTAATTAACATGCAAGTGCAGCTATGTTCACACGTGGGAAAAATACCATGAGTTTTGATTTGAAAGGGTATCAATCTTACTGTGCTGTGCTAGTTGTTATATATAAAAAAAGAAAGTAGTAAAGGAAGAGATTAAAGTGGGTTGACAAAACATACTAGAAATATCACTTTCTGCTAATGCATTCTTTGGCAGCACACCAAGGTTAATATTAGGTCTTCTTCTGAACCAAAAGGGTCTCAAAATCTTCACTACTATTTGAAATGATATTTGAGTTAATGCATCTAGTTCTCATTTCCCACTGATTTTGAACAGTTTTAAGGCCAATGAAATACAAATGGGTTGCTCTATCTCCCTCCCACAGGAGACGTCTTGTCTTTTCCTCCCCTCTGAATTCTATCACGCTGGGCTCTTACTCCAGCTATAATGTTGTGGTTAGAGCTATGCCTACACAAAAGCGTACCAAAACTCTTGAAAGCATCTAGTGATTTTCAGTGACTGGATACACCCTCAGGATGCTTCACCACTCAGCAGTGACTATTTAGCATACATGAACTTTAGCACTGCAAAAGTTTAGTGCTTTAAAAGCTGCCTCCAATTGGGCGTACTTAAATGAAGACAAAATCAATAGTCACTTTTGAAAATTCAGCACACAGTGTCAAATAGAAAGGCTAATTTATTTCATTCTGACATGCAAAGTTTTCTTTCATTTTCTAGTGTGTTGGACTAAGTTACTTCCTCTCTAAAATTAGAAATTATAAAAGCATTAATTTCTGTAAATTCAGTCACTTTTAAGAGATCAGAAATTGCTCAGCCTCTCACAAAAAGGCTGGGTGCAGTTATGTAAGAAGACAAGCGTGTTGATTCATACCAATTATACTATGCACTACTTGGAAGAGCCTGCACAAATTCTCCCCCTCCTCCAAAAACAAATCTAAATGTAGGAAAGAAGATTCTGCGTGCCATGAAACAGTCTTTCCATTGTACAGCTGGCAATATTCCCACTGTTTAAGAGTGAATGAGCAAACTCTAAGAACATCAGTCCTAACCATTCTCTATTTCTCTTCTGCTGAGCATAACACTCACCAACCTAAAGGTTAATGGGTCATTTCATTCCACTCCACTCTGTGCCTCATATATATATATATCAGCATGAAAAATAGATTTGCTTTTGACCAAGCTTTCAGGAGAGTGATGTGTAATTAAATCATTTGCAATAATCAGATTTCTTTGTAAATCACTCAACGGAACAGCATTGGTAAGTCCTGAAAATATGATAAAGCCTTGGTTTGCTCTCTGAATAGAGGATTACTATTTGTACTATAGAAATGGTTAGAGCTGCTTAATTTATTCCTTATAAACCAGTGGCTTATTTGAAAGATCCCTACTCTCACCCCTCCTGAAGAATCACTCTCATTAGCTACTTCAAGGGAGAATCAAGCACTCGCAGTGCTATCACTCCTTTTTCTTTCAGTCATCTAGACCTTTTCTCTGCTGCCCACAGGTTTTCTACTGGTTTCACGTTGTAATATGCAATGTCATAGAGAGACAAGACTAATTCATCATGTCTTTTTCCCCTCACCATTCCATTTTTTCCACACATCTCCACATCCTGCCAGTACTGGCATGTTTCTAGTCAGCTCAGAAAAGAGCAGCCCCAGGTCCACTCACTGGTACATCTTTCCTTGTCTGAGGGCTCCTGAACAATGCCTCAGTCCTCCACAACTTCCCCATTCTCTCCACCATTCCTCCAACAGCACTGTTCCCTGCCTCTGCTCACTACTTACAAAATTTTGACAACATTTATCGACTTATCTCCTTTCAGCTTTATCCCCAAGACACATCCCTCCCTGATGGCAAAGCTAGGGACTGGCAATTTTAAGGTATTTAACTTTAGGAAGCCTACACTGAAGGAACTCCCTGCTGTTCTTCAGGATACTTATCAAAGATTAAGAAATCAATGAAATAGGGTCAGTGATATCACATCAAGGATGACACTAAAAGGAAATAAATTAGTCTATATTCTAATTAGATAAGAAGACTGTCTTATTTCATCAGCCTTCAGACAACATGGAGCACTTTAATCAGCATCTTGAAGCTTATTCTTCCAAGCATCCAACTCCTCCCTCTGCTGTCATTGAGTGAAGGAAGCAGACTGGAGGAAATTCCCCTCTTGCTCCCCTTTCGGCCGGGAGTTGATTTATGGGACCGGCTCCAAGTCCCATCGCCAGCCTCCTCGAGCACGGACCGGAGGAAGGGAAGCTCTGGCGGTGCTCCCTTTCCCGGTTCAGCACCGGGCATCACTGTCCTCACCTCGGTACTGCTCTGCTGCTCTCGATAATGATTCAGTTCTCCAGAACACGCAGTTTGAGATAAAACGCTGAACCCAGTGCATATAGCTGCTCCTTCCCCATTTCTTCCCTTGGGAGAGGTCTTGTTCCTTTGCAATGGTGATCTTTAAACATTATTTAATTAAGAATAAGGGTGAATGAGTGCATTGTTCCAGGTAGTAGGAGATGCTGAAACACTGCATGTAGAATTCTGGAGGAACTGTGATCCACAAAAAAAAAAACAAAAAAAAACCAAACAAAAAACAAAAAAAAACAAAAAAAAAACAAAAAAAAAACAAAACAAAAACAAACAAACAAACAAACAAAAAAAAAACAAAAAAAGCCGGGAAATTCAAGCACCCAGTTACCCAGTTCCTCCTCCCCTTCATAAGGCAGCTGTTAGGCATGAGGTCGGACAGATGCAAGATGATACAGTTGTGCATCTGGCTTCACAGCTCTCAAAGCAAGGTTTTGCTGCCCAGAACACGGGGCAAACAACACAGAAGGAGATCATTTGGTCATTTTCCTAGGACCTGGTATCAGAATGCCTCAGAGAGCCTACTCAGGGAGCTGTGGGCACCTCGGGGTCACAGCCCTGTGCGTGGATCTGACAGAAAAGGCGGAGGGGAAAAGAGAAACCCGAGGGGTATGATTGGCAGTGTTGTGGTTGGAGGCAGGTGTAACCTGGCCAGCAGAGATGAGAAGCTCCACAAAGCACAAAAAGCCACTTCCCAGCACATAAAGGAAAAAAGAAAACAACTACAGACATGACTCAAAAAGAAGGAAAATACTTTATTTTAGTCGGAGGACACATGAGCAGAGAACAACAACGTCGTGAAGGACCGCGGCGAGCTCCAGCGGGCAGTCCGGAGCCGGAGCTCCACTTCCCACACGCCTCACCTCAGCGCTCCGGGCAAGTTCCTTCTTCCCCCCGTACTTCCGAGCACTGTTTAAAACGTGACATCGATCCCCTCAGCAGCAGCAGCTCCACAAGGAGCGAGCAGTACCTCATTAAGAGCCTCGCAATGACCCGCACTCGCTAGAGCAGAGCACAGCCCGGAGGGACCCGCAGCGCACTGAGCGCCCGAGGTCCCGCACACATCCCTGTCCGCACAGGGACAGAAGGGGACTTTCTGAGCCCCACAGACGGGCTCTTCCCCTCAGAGCAGGGCGCCCGCTCGGCTCCGGGTTCCCACTTCTGCCTTACCTGAGTTCCTGAGCTTGCGGTTCTTGAAGACGGACACGATGACCAGCAGGTTGCCTAAAATATCCACCACGGTGGTGAAGATCAGCACGCTGGAGAGAGCCGTCACCACCCAGGCGGGCCGCGGGGCGCCTCCAGCCGCCGCCTCCCGCTCCGCCGAGCCGAAGTGACCCCTCCCGCCCGGGTCGCAGCAGTTCCTCAGAGATCCATTCTCCAGCATCGCTAACGCCCGCCGACCGCGCGGCGGCCCCGCTGACTGGACGCGCGGGCGGGCGGGAAGGCTTTTAACGGCCCCGCCGCGCGCGCTGCCCCTCCCGCTCCCTGCCGAAGTCGCCGGGAAAGGTCCGGGGCGGGGCTAAGCGGAGCCCCGAGGGGGCTGGGCACGGCCCGGGGGCGGGCGCTTCACCTGGCGCACGCCCACGGCGCCCGGCGGCAGCCGAGAGCGCGAGCGGGGGCCCGGGGTGAGGTCTGGAGAGGGGAGAGCGGGTACCGCTGCGCACTGGGGGCTGTGAGGCGGCAGCGAGTGCAGGTGGCCGCGCTTATTAACTCCGCTGAAAGGATGAGAGCCCCGCTCGCTTCGCCCAGCTCCGGTTCCCTCAGCCTCCGCTGTGGTGAATCTCCGCTCTCCGTGGCGGGTTTTTACTCCGTGCCGTGTGTCAAGGCTGGGGAGCCCCGTTCCCCTCGCCGATCCCGCCGGGCTCAGCGCTCCCAGGCGGGATTTCCCCCGGCGCCTGTGATTTCCATGCTCCATTGCTACGCACAGTAAGCTGTAAGGATACAGAACAGCAGGGGTTGGAAGTGACTTCTGGAGATCATCGAGTCCAACCCCCTGCTTTTGATGGGTATTGAATATCTGCAGAGTAGAAAACTCCACAACCTCTCTGGGCTTCCTGTTCCTGTGCTGTCATGCTCACAGTAAATTCCTCCTCGTTTTTCTATGAAACTTTTTGTGTTCTCTACATTTAGTACTAAAATGTCAAATTTGACCTAGACTTTTATATATTCCTGTACTCGCTGATGTGCAGTAGGAACACTGAAACTTATTCAAGCATTAAAGCATGAGAACTGGTGGTGCTGGGCTTGCAAGTCTCTTGATTTATAATCTCCACTCCTCTGTTTGTCAATATGAGGCCATCTTGTCTTGAGGGTGCTGTGTGAGACTCCTGCCCCTCCCACCATGAAAGAAATTGGTGCATATATGATTAATGACATGCACCATGGCCTGGGAAATTCACATCATGAAGATAAAGCAGTCCTGTTTAATTTATAGGACTAGCTTTGCCTATAATTAATAAAGGTGATGCATCTGGGTTACAGATGTGAAAAAAAAACAACCACGAAAACACTTTGTAGAGGCCTTGTGCTTTGCATTTGAACAAAAGTCTAGCAGATTAAAACTAAGGATAATGCCTGCAGGTGGCAATGACTGTAAAAGTTACAGGTGGCGCATGCAATGTGATATCTCCGAACCAACCAAAGCTTTGGAAAACATGCATTTCAGATATGTCTCCTTTCAAGCTCCAGGAGTATTCAGTGGGGTACAGATGGACTACTATTGGAGATCAAGTTTGAAATGTATAGTTTGATTTGAAGTCCCCCAGTGGCAGATGCCATATGCTCCTTCGCATCAAATAAACAGTAAGAATCAGATGTGTGGTACAAAGGAGGGCGTACCTGCATGCCTTTGTGTCTGGCTTCCAGCATGGCTGGCACAGATACCAGGCGCCACTGACAGTGTTGCTATCATCATGTGCTGACAATTAGGGCTGCTCACAGCAAACATAACTGAGAAGCATCTTGTGTCCTACTTTATATCATTTTCAGGGCAATTGGATCCTTCTGCTTCCAGTTTTGCCCCACTTTTGATAATGATGCTGAAGATCAGCATCTGCAGAAGAAGCTACTGGGTAACTGCATTCTGCCTCTTTGTGTTCACTCATCACAGAGAGAGGTATGCCCTATCATTTTTCAGGAATTGGATCTTGAGATAGCCAGCCTCTGTTTATTTGCAAAAACCAGGTGGCAAGCTTCTGTCTATTCTAACAGCACGTAATGTATTATGGCACATTGCTTCTTTGAGACTTACCTCTGCACAAGTGTGCCCTGCTTTATTTAAAATACTACAAATTATTCTGGAGACTTCTTTTTCCAACTTAAAGTAGTCTTTTGTTGCTTGGTTAAATGTATTGCTAAATGTAGTCTTGGTTGGAACCAAGATAAGAGTGCTCATGTAGATTTTTACACCAGTCTTATTTGCCGTGATTTTAAAAAATATATACCTCAGATATTTTCTACTTAATGTAGGCAGTACGAAGTGCATAAAGCATCATGATCCTTTTTAAAATACAGATGGAGTTATCACGGCTTCATGGCTTGAACCAGAGAAGGACTATCTGCTGAGAAGTATCACTTCTGAATAGTTATTTTGCAGTTCCATCATTGCTAGAGGAAAGTAATTGCACACTTGACAGAACAGACTTTCTTGAGTAAGCAGCAGTTTACTTGATTTTTCTTTTCCTTCCTTCTGAAATGTAAAAAGAAATTTATCCAAGGAAATGCCCATTTTCTGTATTCATCAGTGCAACATTTTTTTTTTCTCCAGTGACTAGTAGTCTTCCTGTAAAAGGAATTGTTGCATTATAGTGTCTCTCTTTATCTACCTCTGTTCTAATTTACTTTTTCAGAAAGTTGTTATTGTTAGTGCCCCTCGTCGATGCACCACTGTAGTCTTATTGATGAGGCAGTACAGGCACTGTCTTATTTTGGAGAACATACAAATATTATCATTGGTTTACATGCCTCGGGCTCTTTCTGGGCATCTTTCCAGGTTCTATATAAGTGCTTTTAGGACAAATGTACCATTTTGTTATCTGTGTGTTAGTACTATGGAATTTATCTTTAACTGTTAAATGCTTAAATTGTTCCTGAGCATAAATGTGACTTTTAAAGATGGGCTTTACTCCTGGCATTCTCCAGGTATTGAGTTTGTCCACCCAAGAATAGTGCTTTGTATTTTTCCCTGCCACACACAATTGTTATTTATCATTGTTCATTTTGTTTTATAGTTCCTTATAGTTTGCCAAGTGATTGAGAGAAAAATTAGAAAGCTATGGTCTGAACTTGGCTTCAAATATGAACCAGTTGCAAAATGTGAAATAAAATAAGTGTTGGCGGTTGTGTAATAACAGTCTGTCCTTTGTGGTTGCCCTGGCATTTGACAGTGCGAAAACAGGTAGGTAGGAATCAAATGCCTCGGCATCTCTGAAAAGCAGGTTCTTCATCTGATCTGAGCTCTCACTCTCTTCATTTTTATCAGCAGCATAAGTTGGAATTCTTATACAGTGTTATACACAAGAACATGACAAGTAATAAAAAGACCCAGCATCCGCCTGCTTTTTTAAATGTATACAAACTTTTGTTTTATAAAGATAAGTTATAACAAGTCTGATTTGCTTTTTTGAATGGTTGCTTAAACTGCCTTAAATACACAGTGGATATTCCTATTTAGCATTTTAGAAACCTCATTTTAAGTAACTAAATTATCTCCTGAATTGTAATACATGTTTAAACAGATTGATTGTTACAGTTAATAAGGAATGGAAGTAATGGAACTAATGGAAGAAAGCACTCCATGTCAAACTAAGTTTGGGGATTTTCTCTTCTAATTCTTAGTCTAGGAAAAGTAATTATGTTTCGTGTTTATTTCTGAAAGCAATCCTAAAAATTTCCTAAATCAAACTGTATTTGAGCCGCAGGCTAAGACCGGGAATTGCCGGTCAAAATATTCCATGAATCGTTCTGCAGCCAGAGACTGTGCTCTTTTGTTTGCCTTTTTTTCCCCTTTCTGAAGACAAGTGGCTGCTTCCTAGAGATACCTTTGTGCTCTTTGTTTTCTGTGTTTTCTTGATTTGATTTTTTTGAAGGGACTTATCTCTAATTGGTTGCAGAAATAAAAACTCTTCATGAACAGGAATGAAATTTCAGAAGACAGACGTTCCTGCAGGCAACATCTCTTGAATTTTGAGTAGCAGAAGAAATTGTTCTGCTATGCTTGTTATGTTATCACACATTTCAACAAGACCGAAGGGCACTTAGAACTAAAATGCCCAGTTCCTACTATTAATTATATCAGCTTGAGTTGACCATTTTCACAGTGTACACCATGGCTGATATTGGAGTTTGGGCTCCTGCATCACTTCCATTACTATCCAATTTTTTTTTTTTAATTTAAATATTTGTCTATACATGTTTGAACTACTTCAAGTCCCATTACCACTGGCTAAATGAATCCCTGTTTTCTTTCACTGCTGATTTACTGTGAGCCCGTACAGAAAAGTTTGTATCTCTTTAAGAAAGGAGAGTCTGTCTTTGCAGAAACAGAGATTTACTTGTATTTTCAGTGCAAATTTCATTTTTTCAATGCATAATGTTAATATTTTTAGACACAAATCTAATAGTGGGGAAAGGTTCATTTTGTTGTCCATAATTTTCCAACCCATTTTTTGTACCTGCCAGAAATTGCTCATAAAATGAGATGTCATCTAATTTTCAATAATTTATTGATATTTCTTTCGGATAGATCTTCCATGGCCCATAACAGAATCCTTATGTCATGAGCTGTCAATAGAAAGAGTTTTCTGGTTTCAAAACTTCAATCTAAATAAATTGGGCAAAACAAAGAAGTGAAGACTGAAGGATACATCTCATTTCTCTTTAGCTACTTAGTAGTAAGGTTGTCATCTGTCTTGTATCTATGTCAATTGAGAGAGTTGTGGAGACAGCTGTAGCAGAGTGGGGAGAGAGGAGGGAGAGAGTTGGAGAGAAAGAAATGTGATTCCAAAGGACAGTGCATGTTCTGTCATCACTGAATATCTGGAATGCATTACCTTGTGCCAGTCATTCTGCAGAAACTGTAGGCAAGCTTTTATGACCAGCATAGATCAGATACTTGACTGCAAGGTGTTTAAAGATTTAAGTCCTTCTTGCTGAAGATCACTCTGAGGAGCTTTAGCTTTAGCAGGGCTGAAACAAAACCTTGTTCTCTTGATTCTGATTCAGTGACAACATTTCAAAGCCATCTGATCTCTAACCATGCCACCTATTCCACTTTCTGTATTGTTAAGTGTAAGCATGTATTACTTTTTCTGTATACTTCCATACAAACAACTGTTACTATTCCGCTTCTGGGAATCTTCTGCCAATTTTGTGGTGCTTTTCTAA